ATCACCTTGCTGCCAGATCCAATCAGATCACGCCTCACTACCCTACACTTATAAAACTGGCCCAAGCCTCTTGTTCGGGGACACACTGCCTTGGGATTGTCCCCAGCGTGCTCCCTGTGACAAGTAACAAAACCCCCCTTGCTCTAACTTACTTGGCTGTGTCTATCGACTTGATATCCACCCCTCCACTGGAGAGGTGACAGTCAGAGTCCTGGGCTTTACCCTGTCAGAGGTGTTGGGGCTCAGAGAGTGATACCCCAAAGCATGGTGCTTTGATGTGCTGAGGACTTTGAACTAAAGAATTGGCCTCAGAACCAAGGTCTCTCTGATCTCCCACCTCCCTGTCTCTCGCCTCTGCCCCTCAGCCTCTCCTGAAGCACAGGGGGTTTCTCTGAACGTCCCTTCTCTGACCAGAAGTTCCTCCAGAGGAAATGCAATTGTCTTGGGCCTCCCCTATAATCTCATCAAACAGAGAGGATTAGCTTGCAGGGAAGAAGACTAGAGTTGATACCAGACCCAGAACCCAGACAAACTTTGTCCTGGGCTATTGTCTGTTCTTTGAGCCCATTCTTCTGCCCTAAAAATCATTTATTCTTCGTATAAAAGTGCTTATACCCCCTAGTTCTCTCTCCTAAGAAGAGGGTATTTAAGCTTCCACCATCTGGCCCTTCTTTGAGTTTTACACTTTGTGGGACTTCCCTGGGCTTTCATGTTAATAAATTCCTAGTCCTTTTCTCCTGTAATCCGCCTATTGCCACTTCATTTCAGGAGACTCAATAGTCAAAACTTCGTAGGGGAAGTTTGAACTTCCCTAAAAAGGGAAGTCTTTATTCCTGGCAATGCCCCTCCTCCCCTCTGGGGAAGAGCAGTCCACGGCCTCCTTACAGAGCTCTGGGGCACACCTAGAGTGGCCGGGCCCTGAGGAGAGGGAGGTGTCAGCAGCAGGGACAAATGGGCACGTTTGGCTGAGTCACCACCCACGGCCACGTCCCGGGCCTGGCTTTGGGCAGGGCTAGCGGCTGCACTGGGAGGTCCGAGAGCCTCCTTGCCATACCTTTCCAGCCACAGCCTTCCACTCGGAGAAAGTCGTGTCCCTGAGTTCTCCTTGCCCCCAGGAAAGCCCAGATGTGCCTGTCTTCCTCATAACCTTTCACAGAAGGGTCTCCACTGGGCAGCGTCTGGCCAGTGTTGGGCCAGGTGCAGGGGCTCTGCTCTGGAGTGGGGTTACCAATCTGGGTGCAGCGGAATCTCCTGGGAGCCTTCACATCGCAGCGACCCTTTCCTGACACTTGGAGAGTCTGATGAGGTACCTTGGAAATAGGTCTGGAACTGTCTTGTTAACAGGTGCCCAGGTGATTCTAAAGCGTAGGCCTGCTAGGGCATCCCGGCTGGCAGCTGGCAGGTGAGGGAGGGACCTACCCAGACACTTGGTGGGAGGGAAGAGCCCTCTGCTCAGGTGGCTCTGCAGAGGTGGCACTGAGGAGGCCTAATGCCTGGTGATATGGCCCAGAGCTCTCTCTGCTCACCTTGGACTTTATGTCTGAATGGTACAGGAGACCCACAGAGGTAATCATGTCCAATCTCACGGTGTTATTGGGGCCAAAATGTTTTCCACAGCAAAGATTCAGGTTTGTCATAGAGTACTTCTTTCATATGTAGGTGCTGCCCCATTACATGCATATGGCCATCCTCTGTTTAGACTTCGGGTCCTTTCCATTGGCATAGCAGAGCCCCACATGTAGCCTAGGGTCTTGAAAGACAGGTCCCTTCTGACACAGCTTCCATTGTACATTCCTGGTGACGGGGGGCTCAGCAGCCCAGCCCCTCAGGTCATGTCGAGACAACATGTCATCAGAGATGCCTTTCCTATGTCACTTGTACACTAGCTTCCCGGCAGCTCTCCCACTCGATGTGTCAGCCTCTCTTCCTTTGCACGTGGCAGTGCTGAGAGACAGGAAGACAGCTAATGCACCCACCGAAATCGATCTGGGCTGAGCAGAGGCTGACAGCACTTCTCAGAGCCCAATGTGCAAATGAACCAGTCGCCTCGGGGACCTCGTGAAGAGGCAGGTTGGGATTCCGGATTTCTAACCAGCTCCCAGTGAGGGGAGGCTGCCGGTCCACGGGCTCAGAGAGGCACGGGCTGGGGGTTAAGAGTGTCCACCCGGAAGTGAGAGGCCCGAGTCCCTGGTTTGGCTCCTCCTGCTGGCCGTGTGACCGTGGACGATTACGTCCTGTCCCATGCCTTTGCGTCCATTACGGTGCTGACGAGGCTCCTCCCATAGCTTTGCTGCGCGCACTGAGACCGGGCCCAGGCCCCCGCTCAGGGGCTGGCACGTGGGTAGTGCGTGCTTGACTCCATGCGCTCTCGGGCATTTGTAGCTGAACAGCCCCGGGACCTCTGATCGTTCCCTCCCCTGGAGGTGCCGAGGGGCCATAATGCATAGAAAAGAGCCAGTGCGCTACACGGAAGATGCCGGCGACATCCACAGCTTCCACGAGCAGCACGCCCACACCTCTCACCGCCTCCTGTTAAACACAACGCTAGAAACGGTGTTTTTTCTGGGCAAACCAGATGAGTGAAATATCAACTCAGAAGCTGAAGGACTTATCAATAAAGGTCTATCCTACAAGACTGCCCTGGTTCAGCTTTTGTGCTGATTAGAAATGCTGACGAACAATTAGCTAAATCAATACACTTTGATATGGCAAGACAAGCCTATTAGGATTTAATCAGGGTCATCTTTAATAGACAGATTAAAGCTGGGGAAATTCTGGTTTCTTCCTAAGTTGATGCATCACCTTGTGTTTCTTGACTTGGCTCGGGTGACCTCTCCTGAAGGAAGCCCCTTCGCTTCCAGGCAGGCTTAGGTGCTCCTCAGAGCAATCTATGAGATTACTTCACACGTGGGGTTGTAATTGTCTTTCCTCTCTGTTCGATTTTAACTCCTGAGTGCAGAGACAGGATCTTATCATGTTACCTTCAGCTCCCACCTAAGTGCCTGGCACACTGCAAATGTTTGTGAAAGGAAGAGAGGAGGAAGGAAGGGAGGAGAAGAGGGAGGGAGGGAAGAAAGGAAGAGAGAGAGAAGGAGGGAGGAGGGAGGAGGGAGGCGCTGACGTCCCTCAGGAACAAGGGGAAAGAAGAGGACTGCACTGGCCAGAGAGTCGGGCTTCCCTGGGCGGGGACGCTCACCTGTGTTCCGTGGGGCGTCATCTTCTTCTGGGAGCAGAGGCCCTTTGCTGTAAGCGAGTGAGGGCTTCCTTCTAGCCCACTTGCTGGGGCAAGTCTTCGTGTTTTAGCTCTGCCCACGGCCCCGCCAATATTGCTTCTAAGAAGATGGCTGCTTCCCCAAATAAGTTCTCCAAAGTAACATTTTTCCTTGTGGGGACACAGGTACTATAACTGTGGTTATTATTGAACTGAGGGATTCCTCTTTTGTTGTGCAATTCTTTTCCTGGGGCCCTGAGAATTTTTAAATGAGACATTACTTTTCATATTTTAGTAAGATGAAAATAGAGAGGATGCCTGAGCTGCTTTGGTGGCGGAGACAAAACACAACTTTGTTCTTGTCACTTGCACCCAGTGAGTGACTCAGGGGAGCCGGATTTCTGGGACAGTGGCCTGCCTGCCCTCCTGGCTGGTCATCCAGCTGACTCGCCAGGTGGCCAAATTGAATGGCTGGTGTGTGTGTGTGTGTGTGTGTGTGTGTGTGTGTGTGGTATTTTCACAATGAAATCCAAATGTGGCTACACTTGTTGGGAAAACAGATAGGTATAAAATCCTGAATCTGAATCATGACATGGAATGTCCTCGAAGCCCCTGTATTCGGATGAGCCTGGGACTTGGTGGGTCTTCCTGTCTTCCCTGTGTGGAAATAGCAGCTTTACCAACAGAGCAAGGACGGTGTGTTTTGCCGGTTCCCTGGGCCTGGGCAGCACAGGCCTGGCAGCTGCTGAGGTTTCTAAACAAAGAGGGAGGTGCTTTTTCTTCCTGTGTTTCCCACAGAATGAGAATTAAGAGGCTTCAGCAGAAACTGCGAGTGGAAGCCCGCGAGGACCCATTGGTTCCTCTGTGGCCTCGGTGGGCACCTGTTCTCAGACCGTCAGAGCCTTAAGGGTGCAGTTGCCACACTCTACTCCCTTGAGGTGATTCAGGTATTTCCCTCCAGATCCCCGAAGGCCGGGGACTTGGGGGCAGGGGCAGGACACAATTTTCTTTTGAGTGCAGGGCACAAGTGCAGGTCACTGAATCGGGGTGGCGAGGGCCTGACTCAGCTTCCCCAGGCCATCCTTGGCCTTGGTCTTGGGTCTTCCTCATCTCTGCTCCCCAGAACTAGCGGAGGGCCTGGCGCCTGGACGGCAGGGGCAGGGGGTGCGGGAGTGAGGTGGGAGTCGGGGCTGCAGTCGATGAGGAGGCAGCTCCAGCCAGAGCTGACCCCCGCTGCCCGCAGGAGGAGGATAAGAGTCCAGGGACAGAACCACAGCTACAAACCTGTTTCACTTTTTAAAAGGTGGCCTCTTCTTTACCAGAAAATAGCCTTCAGAGGTGAGTCTCCCCCCATGAAGAAAACTCATTCTAAGCAAATAAACATTTCTGTGAGATTGCCTTGGGGGTCCCCCAATTCTTCCTGAGGGGACCTGGAAACCGGCTACTGTGTCTGAGGGGGCCTCAGGGGTTTGGGTGGGTGCAGGGGCAGAGGGACTCTCAGGACCAGAGGTGGCCAGGAAAGGGAGGGAGGGCGGCGAGGGGGGGGTGAGGAGGATCTGGGGAGGGACATGGAGGGGATGTCACACAAGCAGCGCCCTTCATCAGAGGGGAGCCTGGGGCCCTCCAGACGAGGCTGTCTCAGGATCCCCACTTCCTTTTGGACTTTAGGGATCTCAAATGGCTAAGCATGTGGTGTGTGTGTGTGTGTGTGTGTGTGTTACTTGTTCTGGGGCGGGGGAAGTAAGCTCCTCTGGGTTTATCTGGGGATGGGGTCTGTCTGCTGCAATTCTCAGGAAATGCCTTCTGTCGCAAAGTCCTCCAGGTCGTCTGTGGAGATGATGCCCAGGCCTGGAGCTTCTGCACCCTCCTCTTCTGGGCCCCGGGGAGGCCCCTGGGGGCGCTGGCCTGCGGAGTGCTGGGTGGGGTCACCCTGAGGCCCCGGGGCCAGCTGCAGTCCAGACTCGTGGGCGCTCTGGGGCCTGGCTCGGGCTGCCCCAGGGGCGCGAGGGCCCTGCCTGAGGAAGGTGGGGGCGGAGAGCTGAGAGGAGCAGCGCAGGGGCATCAAGGCTGTCACGGGCACGGGCCGGAAGCCGGGGTACAGCACGTAGGGAGCGGCCCGGGCATCCAGCAGGGGCGGCTCAGGGGGGAGCCCCTCGGATGAGGGGATGGAGACCTTGACATACTTGCCCGTCTCTGGGTCGTAGAAGGTCTTGATTTTCACCTGGAGTGGCAAGTCGAAGAGAAAGTACTCTCCAGACTGGGGGTCCTGGAGCACCTTCTGTGTGGCGGGGTAAGGGGACAAGGGTTTGAGGGACTGGGGCCCCCCAGGCTGCCTCCCAATAGGCTCCGAGAAGCCGGACACGGAGTGGCGGTGCAGGGGCGGCGGCACGGAGCGCACCGTGGGGAAACTGCGTCGCGGCCTCTCTCCGGGGGACGGTGGCCTTTGCTCCGTCCACTCCAAGTCCTCTGGGCAGGGCTTTCCCTCCCGGGACTCGCCGTGCTTCTCTGGCAGCTGGTCGGTCTTTCTCCTCTTGCTTGCCAGCTTCTTCGCCCGCCGTAGGGCCTTCTCTGTCTTGGGTGGGACTGCGGGTGGCTTGCTGGCCGCCCTCCCCAGCTGAGCAGGGAGCTCCGGCCTCCCAGGGGGGCCTGCAGGGCTGGCGGCCACATCCGGCAGTGAGTCTCGTGGAGAGAGCGTCCGGAGGTCTTCTGCCGACGGCTCGAGTTGAGGGTCTGAGCTGGCCTCCCACACGAGGGCGTGGGTCAGGTCCTCCCTTCTGGCGACCCTGGCAGGACTGGGGCTGGCCCAGGGGCTGGCTTGAGGGGGCTCCTCGGGCAGCAGTTCCAGCTCACTGGCGGCAGGGGAGCACACGCTGCTCTCCCCCAGGGAGCTGGAGTTGGGAGAAGTTGCCATCTCTCCATGCGCCAGTCTTCTCCCAGGCGGCCCTGCTCTGGGCGTAGACAAAAAGTGACTATTGGCACCTCGCGTCTGTTCTTCCCAACAGGTTCCGGGCTGCCACGGTAGTGGCTGGTCTTCGAAGTCACCCTCGGGTAGAGCGATTGTTGGGATGTCCCAGGGGGCAACCGGCTTCCCTGAGTCTGCGGAACTGCTCTTGCCGTCGTGTGCGAAGACTGTATGTGCTGCATCTGGGGGTGGCTTCATCCCGTCCCCCTCTCCTTCCAGAGGCAGAGATGGGAAGTTCCCCTTTGGGACTAGCTGGGAGGTCTCCATCCCGGCCGTGCTGGACACCTGCCCGGGGTCCTCTGTGCCATCACAGGCCAGGAGCTTCGTGTGTGCGCTCTGCATGTTAGCAGGCATAAGTGTGCCAGGCATTTCCTGGCTTTCAGGGGCACCGAAAGCAGCATCCTCACCCCATCCTGGCCTTGGCGAGTCCTCCTCTCTGTGGCCACCGCTGAGCGAGTCTTCGGAGGACATGGTCCTCAGGAGAGGCAGCATGATGGGTTTTATTACCGGGGTGGCTCTGAGCGTGTTGTCTTTAATTGTAAACAGTATGTGCTTGTTTGCAGCGGAAGACGACGAGGGGGCAGGGTCTTTGGCGTGTGAAAGGGAGGTACCCCTACGTCCCCCAACCCAAGAGCCTCTGGAATGAGCTTCTTCTGCCGATGCCTTCCCGGGCCTTCCTCCAGACACAGCTTCCCCTTCTCTCTGCAGCGCCTCCCGCTCGCTGTGCTCCTCCGTGCCTGCGCGCCCAGCACCCGAGGCGCGGCTCTGCGGCTCATCTCCCCCAGTCGCCTTCTCCTTCTCATCCTTCTGACCGTCACCTGCGCTCACGTCATTCCTCCTGTCTTCCCGCTGGCTCTCGGCAAACCACGTCTTCTGCTGATCGTCAAACGAAGCAAAGGATTGATCTGAGGAGCTGGTGCTGAACTTGGCCCTGCTTTGGAGGCCCGGCATAAAATCAGACTGGCTGTCGCTGTAAAACACATCTTCCTCCTCAGGGGACAGGGGCCCTGGGGAGAATTTCTGGGTCAAGTGTGGGTTCTGAAGTCCTACCTCTCTCTCGGGTTCTGTCTCTTGCGAGATGGATCTCGAGGGCCCGTTCTCTAGCTGGGCCTTCATTTTCTCTGTGGCCTCGCCAGCCTCAGGCTCCCTGCTGCAAAGCTTCAGGGAGAGGTGCTTCCTGGGGTGGCGTTCCCTGGAGTCTGGACGCCATCCAGCCCTGCCTGGCCCCGGCTCAGACCCTCCGTGGGCGTCAGGGTGCTCATGACTGCTCCTCTCGGCAGCCTCCCCATTGACGCAGAAGGGGGCGTTGGCGATGACTGGAGGTGCGCTAGGGGTTAGATAGCTGTCTGCAGGGGACTCACTGCGGTCGCCCGTAGGGTCCTCCTGGGCACCGACCTGTGATGCAGTAAGGGCATCTGCAGGTGTCTCCTTAGAAAGCTCGTTTGGGGGACTTTCCTCAAGCCCGTTGGGAAGCATGACGCCATTGCTCACGGGCTCTTGCTTCCCACCAACCTTCCCTCTGCTTTTCTCATCCAGGCCTCGCAAGAGAGGCGAGGGGCTGTATGTGCTCTTAACACGCTTCCGCACATCCTTGAGGTTGAACAGCAGGCTAGGGGCTTTGGACTTGTAGCTGTCCCGAGACTGGCATTCACTGGGCTCCTTCTCTTGGTACCCGTTTAGCTGTGCTGGGGGCGAGGGGCTCGTCTCCGAGGGTGGACTGTCTGACGGATCCGGGGCAAGCTTGGTGGGTATGATGGGCGTCAGGAGCTTGCTGATGTTGAAAGGGGGATTGTAATGCTCACCGGGGTCCACAGGCATGTCAAGAGCATCATTTTCTGGAAATTGCCCCTGGGGGTTGTGCTTTGTGTACAGAGGTGGGCCTCTCCTGTTGCTCTGTTTCTTTTCTTCTGCAGCTTCTTGTAGACTTTCTTTCCCTCTTTTGCCCGTCTTTGATTTCCTCCATGGGGCCTGGGTTGGCTTCACTTGGGGGTCAAGCTGGGAGCTGGGAGCTTTTCCCTCCATAGCAGACACCTGGGATCCTGGGTCCCTGCACCCCCAGGGTCCAGATGCCGACAGAGCCCCTGCTGCCAGTCTGCTCTCGGTCTGACTGAAGCCGGCCTGGCCTTGGCAGGGCGAGACTTTACGCTCAGGAGGATGGGGTTCTTGTAACAAGGGCACGTCCTCATAATGTTTGGGAGCTTTGCTTTCTGGGACAGTTTCAGCAGTGTCCTTTCTCTCGAGCAGCTTTGGTTGGTGGGCGTTCCACGACTCAAAAGCACTATTTTCACTGTGCAGAAAGGTCCCTTTGTGAGCCCACTCCTTGCTTCTTCCAGCCTCACCCGGGGCTGGCTTGTGGGGTGGGGAGGGGAACTTCGACTCTAATGAGCTGGCCGCATTGTCCGGCACTGGGAGGAAGCTGCTGGAGCCGTGACAGGCCATTTCAGGATTCTTGGGGGACTCCTGTTCTCCGTGCTTCCTGCCGGGCTGGTGGCTGCTCTGATGGGCATTGGAAGCTTCAGCGGGCACCCTCCTGACCGTCAGAAAGGCAGAATCGAAGCAGAAGTTGACACTGTTCTCTGGAAGAGGAGCAAATTTGGGGGGATTTTTCAGAGCCGGGGGCTTGCTGGTTGTAGGTCTGATCTCGCAACGCTGGCTCTCAGTCCTGTTGAAGGACTGGATTAGTGATGATACTTTGGAGATAGGCTTGTTGCTGCTTCTCAGGCCGGCAACCGGCACCTCCAGTCTCCTCTGGGCTGGCGTCGGCGGGGGGCTGCTTTTGGGGTACTTTTCCTCCCCCTGAACGTACTTGGGTAGCTGTTGGAAGGTGGCTGCCCAGCCTGCGTGCTCTGTGCCTTGTGCCGGTAACTGGCTCCAAATGCCACTTTTCCTGTGGGTGTGGCTCACTGTTCCCTGGCGGAAAGTCCCAAACACCTGGCGGGTGGTATCCGGGGACAGGGCCAGATCGGAGTCGTGGAAGGATGTGTCCTCCGAGATGCACAAGCTGCGGAACGCCCGGTCAGTGAGGCTGCTCACCTCCCTGTCGGCATCGTCCAGCACGCTGCCGATGCTCGAGGAGTCGCTGAGCCCGTCCGTGCACTTCTTGTTCCCCTGCATTATCTGTCAGCTCCAGGAAGCCTGTCCCCCTCAGCCAGTGGGCGCCTCTGGTGATGATTCTGGCAAGGGTGAGATGTAGCCTTGTTCCCGCAAAATTAGAGCTTTTCGTCAGCCAGATGCAATTACCAAGTGGGTTTATTTTTTCTCTGCAGAAGAAAGAAGAGCAAGTGTGAACGGGACATCCAATTTAGCAGCACTTTGCAAGACTGCATGCTGGGCCGTGGGCATAATGGTACCTGTGACGGTTAATTTTGTGTGTCACCTTGGCTGTTCTACTGTACCCGTTTTTGGTCAAACACTAGTCTAGATGTGACTGGGAAGGTATTTTTTAAATGTGATTAACATTAAAGTCAGTAGACTTTGAGTAAAGCTGATTAGCCTCCATGATGCAGGTGGGCCTCGTCTGATAGGTTGAAGGCATTAAGAGAAAAAGACTCAGGTCACAGGCAACAAAAGCAAAACTAGACAAGTGGGATTACATTAATTAAAAATCTCTACACGGCAAAGGAAACAATCACAAAAATGAAAAGACATCCTACAGAATGGGAAAAAATAGGTGCAACCCATATATGTGATAAAAAGTTAATATCCAAAATACATAACAAATTTCTACACTCAGTAGCAAAAAACCAAACAACCCAATTTAAAAATGGGCAAAGGAACAGAACAGATATTTCTCCAAAGAAGACATGCAAATGGCCAACAGGTATATGAAAAGTTGTTCAATGTCATCAGGGAAATGCAGTCAAAACCATAGTGAGCTATTACCTCGTGCTGTTAGGATAGCTGTTATCAAAGAAATGAAAGATAACAAGTGTTGGTGAGGATGTGGAGAAAACGGAACTCTTGTACACTGTTGGTGGGAATGTGAGTTGGTGCAGTCACTAGGAAAAACAGTATGGAAGTTCCTCCAAAAATTAAAATAGAATTACCATAAGATCCAGCAATCCCATTTCTGGGTATACATCCAAAGGAAACGAAATTAGAATCTCAAAGAGGTATCTGTATCCGCGTGTTCACTGTAGCACTACTCACAGTAGCAAAGACATGGAAGCAAACTAAACGTTTGTCGGTAGATGAATGGACAAAGAAAACACGATATATGCATACAACAGAATATTATTCAGCCTTAAAAGAGAAGGAAATTCTGACATTTGTGATAATGTGGGAGAAGCTGGAGGACATTATGCTAAGTGAAATAAGCCAGTCACAGAAAGACAAATACCGAATGATGTCACCTATATGAGGAATCCAAAAGTCAAGCTCATAGAAACAGAGAGTACCAGAGACTGGGGAGAGGGAGAGATGGGGAGTTTTTTGTCAAAGGGGATAAGTTTTCAGTTGTGCAAGGTGAGTAAGTTCTGGAGATGAGCATGATGACTACAGTTAACAATACTGTATTGTATACATGAAATTTGCTAAGGGGGTAGATCTCACATTCCGTTCTTATCACACACCACAAAAATAATAACTAAAGCGGGTGGGAGGAACCTTTTGGAGGTGATGGATAGGTTTATGCATGGATTGTGGTAATGGTTTCATGGATGGGTTCTTATCTCCAAACTCGTTGAGCTGTGCACATTAAATACATACAGCTTTTTGTATGTCAATCTTACTTCAATAAAATGGCTTAGAAAAAAAAAAAAAGACTAAGGTCCCCCAGGAAGAGGGAATTCTGCCTCTAGAGCATCTCTGGACCGGACCTGCAGCATCAGCTCTTCCTGTGGCCCGGCCCTGCACAGTTAGCACTTGCCAGCCTCGCAATCCCGTGAGCCAGTTCCTTAAAACGGGCCTGGAGCTCAGATGTGTCCTTTTGAAGAGTCCTTCCCTGAAATTCCGTGGGGTGTTCCCTCCTCAGTCACCCGTCTCACAGTGCACAGTTTATCTTCTTCATGGTACTGACCATGATCTAAAATTAAATTTATTTCTTTGTCGCCTACCCCATCATTGGATTGTTAGTGCCAGGAGCTTAGGGACCTCTGGGATGTCTACTCGCTGATTGTGCCTTGTCCCAGAGCCACCCAAGAGGATACAGTCCCCAGGGCCCGCATCACCTGGGCCCCTTGACTGTGACTTGCCCTTGTGCGTGGCCAGTGGGAGGTGCTGGTGGGAGGCTGGAGGCCTGGGGTGCAGCATCTCCTCCCACCCGCCTTGCTGTGGCGTGGGGACCAGGCAGCACTCTGCTCGTCTGTCACTGCGGCTCTCGCCCGGGCTCTGGCTGGGCTCCAACAACACTCCCTTTTGCCTGGTGGGTCTTGGCGATGCTGGCTCCTGCTCTCTGAGTGTCTCTGCATCCCCGGGGTCCCCCTGACTCTGCCTATACCTCTGTCTAGCCCCTTCATTACATTCTCTTCTTTTTAAAAAAAATTGTGAAGTATATGTAATATAAAATTTCCCATCTTAACCATTTTTAAGTATTCAATTCAGTAGTGTTAAATGCACAGCCACTGTTGTGCAACTACTCTCCCAGAACCTTTTCATCTTGCAAAACTGAAGCTCTTCGACCATTAAGCAGCAACTCCCCATTTCCCCCTCTCCCTGGCAGCCACAATTTGGCTTTTTGTCTTTATGAATTTGACAACTGTAGGAACCTCATAAAAGTGGAACCAGACAGTATTTGTCCTTTTGTGGCTGGCTTATTTCACTTAGCATAATATCCTCAAGGTTCATCTGTGTTGTAGCATGTGTTAGACTTTGCCTGCTTTCCAAGGCTGAATATCCCACCGTGTGTGTGACAGAGAGAGGGTGTGTGTGTATGTGCGTGTGTGTGCGTGTGTGTGCGTGTGTGTGTATGCGTGTGTGCATGTGTGCGCCACATTTTGCTTATCCATTCTTCCACTGATGGACACTTGGGTTGCATCCAACTTTTGGCTATTGTAGGTAAGGCTGCCATGAACGTGGGTATGAAAGTATCTCTTTGAGAACCTGCTTTCAGTTCTGTGGGGTATGCAGCCAGAAGTGCAACTGCTGGATTATATGGTAGTTCCATTTTTAATTTTTTGAGAAACCTCCAGACTGTTTTCCACAGTGCCTGAGCCAATTCACATTCCCAGCAACAGTGTGCAAGGGTTCCGTTTCTCCACATCCTTGCCGACACTTGCTATTTTGCTATTTATTTATTTTGACGGTGGCCATCCTGATGGGTGTGCCGTGGCACGTCGTTACACGCTCTTCTGGATCCTGTCTGAGGATGCTGCTTTTGGGACCCTTTCTGTTCCCTCCTGGGACACACACCTCTAATGCCTAGAACAGTGCCTGGGCTGGGACAGGGAATAAGAAAACGAGGACGTAGAAAGTTAGTCAAAATCGCAAGTATTGACCCTGGAGTGGGCCCAAGTGGGGGGCGTCTGGGTCAGTGAACATCTGGCAGGGTGCCGTTGAGTCCTCCACAGGCAGCTGAAACACTGTCAGACAGTGGCCCTGCTCACAGCAGTGGGAGCTGAGCGGGCTGTGCTCGTCCCTCCTGGCTTGGCCGCCATGGCCGTGAGACTGCCAGCGCTCGAGGGGACGGGAGGTGAGAGCGCCCCCTCCAGGAGGCAGGGCCACCCTCCAGGAGCCCAGACCCTGCCTCTCTCCACCTCGCCGTGCTGTGACCACGGGTTGGCTGGGGCAGCCTCGGTGCGTTTCCACACCTGCGTGGGTGCTGCGTGATTCTAATCACTCTTTTGTTTCTGTAGAATGGGGGTCATGTGGCCCCTGCAAGTCCCCAGGAGGTTAGGGACAGCATCCCTGCACAGAGCTGGTCACGGTTGGTCACAGGGTCGGTTGAAGCTACTGGGCTGCCGGTGCTGTCCTCCGTCCTGGTGGCCAGCCTTCTTTGGGTCTGTTGTTTCCTGTCTCTTGCCCACAGCATTCTGGCGGGTTTCCAGTGCTGACTCGTGGGCAGGCGGCTTGCTCTTGTGAACGGCGGCACGGAGCTGCGGCTCTGGAGGAAGGACAGGATCCCGAGTCCCAGCGGACTGAATGAAGCAACAAGGAGCCGCTGACCCGCTCCGGGAAGGCCTCCCTGCACGCGCCCTGCAGCCCTGCCTTGGGAAGTGGGCTGCCAGCTCCCCAGGAAGCTCGTGCTCACATGCTCTTAGAGGGCTGCCAGTGAGGGGGCGCATGGGCCCACGTGGCGGGCAGAGGCAGACCCGGGGGCTGGGCGAGCACACACGCTTCTCCTCTCCTGCAGCCACTAGAAAAGCTGTCCTCGGCCTCCCACACAGCTGGCCTTTGGGGACAGGGCTCTGGTCGCAGGGAGGGAAGCAGCAGAAGTCTGGGAAAGTGCTGGCCTTTCTATTCGAAGGAACAATCCTCGTCCTCTCCACGCAGTTGGCGCCTTTGCTCTTGCTTTGAATGCAGAGCGAAGCCTGAAGCCAGCCTGTTTCTTTGCGGCTGCCGTAACAAGGCGGCACTCCGCCGGCTTAGACCACGGCAGTGTCCGGTCTCCCGGTTCTGGAGGCTGGACGTCCGAAAGCGAGGTGTCGGCAGGGCTGGTCCTTTGAGGGCTCCGAGCGGAGTGTGCCGCAGGTCTCTCTTCTCGGCTTGAGGACGGCAGACTTTGCCTCATGGGTCCTCACATTGTCACTGCTCTATGCTTGTCTCTGTGTCCAAATCTCTTTTCATAAGGTCATCAGTCACACTGGACTAGGGACCACCTAATGACCTCATCTTAACTAAGTATATCTGTAACAGCCCTATTTCCAGAAAAGGTCACGTTCCAGGGTACTGGGGGTTGGGACTCCAACAGTTGATTGTCCTAAGCCTGAGGGGTAAGCAATGGCCACCGAAGGCCAGCTTGCTGAGCGTGGAGGGTGGGCGGATGAGGAGCGCCAGGCCCCGGCCAGCGATGCTGAGCTCTGAGCCCATGATAGCACCACCCCGCTTGAACTTCTATTATTGGTGCTGCAGGGACCTTAGTGGATTTGGCCCTTGTAAGTCAGGTTTTCTGCGTTTTGAGATCCTGCCAATGTAGTCAGAAATCTCCTGGTGTCCTGAATGCTGGAATTTTCATCTTCCCAATGACCAAATTCAGGGATACTGCGGTTTCTACACTTCCACATTAAGGTGAAAATAGAATAGCTGAACACCTACATTTAGAAGCTTAGAGTGAAATGAACAGCCTCTACCCAATTAAACACCCCGGACTATTAGCAAGTATTTGTTATTTTTTTTTTTGAACGCTCAGCTTCCATCCTCCTCTTCTGAGTAAAACACTTGTTACCTTTTGGGAAACTTCCTCCCCCCGTGGTGTTTGGTCTTGGTGAGGCCGAAAGTCAAGGTGCCTGCTAAGGCGACCCGGGCCAAGAGCAGATGTGAGACCCGGGATGGGCCCATGGATTGCCCTGATTCTCCCGGAGTCATGCAGGCTGGGGGCGAGCTCAGGCAGTCTTCCCAGCGGTGGAGCTTTCAGGATGCTCTGGGGGCTGCCTGGTCCCTGACCTTTCCTAGCCTGGAACTTTGGCCTTTACCTTGACTTTGCAAGACCTCCAGTTTCCTTTTAACACTGCTAATTTCTGCTTCTTTTGTCCATTTCCTGTTTCTGTTGCTTGTGGCCAAAGAGCCCTAGCTGATCTTGAGTTTCAATCGTAATTCCAAACCATGATGAAGCATCCGATCTTCAGAGCATTCGGAAAATAACCACATTACTTCTGTCTCAGGGAAGAGGCCCTTGCTAGCTTTATTCAGATAATTTCTTCAATTCCGATTTAATATACCTGGAGTCTGATGGGAAAGCCATAACACTGGCCTCACCCCCCACACCCCCACACAGGGGCACCCTTCAGCACAGTGGCCCAAACCACAGTTTTTAGAAGCCAGCTGTTGAGTTGGTTCCATACCTGTTACAGGAATGAGGGCTGCTGCTGCCTGCCTGGCTGGCTTTCGGGGTTCGTAGTTTCAAAACTTCTTTTCATGCTTATATTTGGTGTCATCACTGCCCATCTAAAAAGAAGAAGAAAAATAATTTCAGTGGAACACAAGTGACCAAAGGGCCCAGCCTGTGTCCAGTGGACAAGAGATCTTTAAATGTCAGTAATACAATGATGCAGTTGGCTTTCAAAAAATTTTTTTTTTAAATCCACACTTGAACTCAACAAAATTTCTATATAGCCATTTTTGGTGAAAACCAACATAGAGTCAATTTATATCCATTCTAATATTCATTAATTTGCTTATGGTCCAAAAAGTCTTCGAGAGCCTGTTTCAAGCCTGCGGGATTGCTAATATGAGTGGCCGGTTGTGAATTACTTTACGATACAGAATCTGACCGAAGGCCTCTTCCCACTGAACTGGCAACTTGGGTTTGCAGCCGAGGGAGCCGGTGCAGCCGTGCTCAAGTCCACTCATCAAGCGGCGGCACAGTGTTCGATTTATTGCTGGCAGGAGGCTTGAGTATCTATTTTGACAGCTAAAAGAACCAAAAAGCTGCCCAGGAGGATTTTCAGAATGCCCAGAAAGAAGTGTAAACTAATTAAGATAAATCTACTGTGCAAATTTTAAATGCAGACCACTGGGGTTTCCATAAGACCTTCCCCAGCTCGTAGCTCCTGGGTATGAATCTAGTCCAAGGTAGTTTATTAATAATATTAATAATCATAATAGATCAAATTCGTGAAGTCAATTCCTTTGGAGGATCACAGAGGCGCTTTGTGTCTGCCACGAGACGGCGCAGCCCCGGCCCCAACTTCCGGGCTGGCTCCGATGGGCCTCCGCTGTGTCCCCACGGCGTGCTGGCTTCACCCTTCCTGCAGCCCCTGCCGTGTCGTCCCAGCCGTGTAGCACAGCCCATATGTTTCAGACACTGACAACTCTTCTTTCTGTCCTCAACTAGAAAGAAAGGTCCCTGAATCTGGGAAGGGAGTCTTCTATGCCTTTGTATACTGAGTTCAATAAATAGGAGCTCAGTAAGTGTTCGTGGCAACGCTCTGAATTGGGTTATCTTTATTCTGATTTTTTTCCCCGAAAGGCAGACTGAAGCACAGGAAAAAAGGAACAAGACAAAAGCATTTTGTTGAGGAAGATTCCCGGACTTGTGTCTTACAGCCACCTGAAAAACTGAGACTGACCCATTCGAGTCACTCATCAGCCCATGCCAGCGCCGGCAGCTCCAGTGAGCTCTGAGGATACAATCGTCTGGTGCTGCACGAGGGTGAGACATAGGTGTAGAATGACATGGTGGCGTTGACCTCGGAAACAGTTAGGGGGCCGTCCCTCTGTGCTCGGCTCCCCCTCAGACAGCCGCCTAAGCGACTCCCTGTTGTCGCGGCTGAAATGCGTTTCCCAGAGGCGGCCGTGAACGCTGTCTTGCTCACCACTCTGAACCGTGTGAAGGAAGCAAACCTGAATTGGTGGAAAGTCCGGTTCGTAGAATATTAATGCTTTCCAGGAAAAAGGGTGCGGTTTCCTTCAGGAAACGTGATCGAAGATAAATTGCATGTGGCTGAGCCACGTTCTAAACAAGGTCCTGGAATCTGGTCTAACGAGTACATGGAGATAAAAATGCATGTTTAATCACGGCATGGTAAACTCCCATTCGTGTCTGCGGCCTTTGGAAACAGCTTGCCTCTCTCGAATGCTCCCATCCGCTCCTCCCGCCATCATTCCTGCCCCTGCTCCTCCCGGATGGTCTCGGATGGGTCACTTTTGCCGTAACTTCTAGGCTGCATCCAGACTCCTGGCCACTGTCATCTCGAGGTTCACTCTTGCCCGGACCCGTCGCTTCTCCCTCCCAGCCTGGCTGCTCGTCCCTCCTCTTCCTCTCCTCGACCACTGGCTTCCTCCGTCCCCAGCCCTGGGTCTCTCCTCTCCTCACTCTGCAGTGACTCCCCACCCTGGTGTCCTGGAGATCTGCACGCCGGTGCCGCCGGCAGGCCCGGCTCTTGTCCAGCTGCAGTCCCCCCTCCGATCTCCCTGGGGATCCCGGACACTTGGGGGTCACCTGTGACTTCTCCCTCTCCCTCCTCCTGTGCCTCCCGTCCATTTCCAGGTCTTCCTCTGCACACTGGTCTCCGTGGTGGCTGTGTGGCCCATGCTGCCGTCCTGTCTCCCTGGGCTACGGTAGGGTCCCATGTTCCTTGTGGCACTGCGCCCCCGTACTGCTTTTAACAACCGGATCTGTTCATGTCAGCCTCTTGCTTAGAATCCCTCAATGGCTTCTCGGTTTTAAAGAATGAAAATCAATCTCTTTAATGCAGATCCTCTTCCCAGCCTCATCTTGGACTGTTTTCCTCCTCACGCTTGGCTTTCCAGTCACACAGGCCTTTTTCCAGCTTCTTCAATAGGCCACGCTACTTCTTGCCCCAGGGCCTTTGTACATGTCGTTCCCTTCCCTTGAAATCCTTTATTTCCGTATTTTCCTTGCTGCCTGGTTAACTCCTACATATACGTCAGAGACCAGTTCACATGTCCCTTCAACAAGGCAGCTTTCTCAGGCTTCCTCAAGTTCCCCGTGATATACTTTTATAATAGTCTATACCTGTTTCTCTTGCAGCACTTGTCATAATTATAATTAAGTATTTAACTGGGTGGTTTGTCGTTTAATGTTTGTTTCTCCTGCTAGCCTGGGGGCTTCATGACGGTGGCGTCCAGGTCTGTCTGGCTCTCCAACCCGTGCCCTCGTGTATTAATGGCACAGCGCACAGTGCAAGCGGCGTCTGTCTAGTGAACGAGCAAATCCCTCCACCTCTGTCACGATATTGTTCATACTACTGATTGGCTTAGTGGGATTTATTGTATCGACAGTCGATTATAATCAATCAAGTGCAGAAGTATCACAAATTTCAAATTGGTGAATTTGAATTCAAGTGGATTTTGTTTGCTTTTTTATTCTAAGCCCTAAAATATATAGAATTTGCCTGTGGTAAAAGGTGGAAGCAGGCCGGGCGCGGTGGCTCACGCCTGTAATCCTAGCTCTCTGGGAGGCCGAGGTGGGCGGATTGTTTGAGCTCAGGAGTTCGAGCCTGAGCAAGAGCGAGACCCGATCTCTACTAAAAATAGAAAGAAATTAATTGGACAACTAAAAATATATAGAAAAAATTAGCCGGGCATGGTGGCGCATGCCTGTAGTCCCAGCTACTCGGGAGGCTGAGGCAGGAGGATCGCTTGAGCCCAGGAGTTTGAGGTTGCTGTGAGCTAGGCTGACGCCATGGCACTCACTCTAGCCCGGGCAAAAGAGTGAGACTCTGTCTCAAAAAAAAAAAAAAAAAATGGAAGCAGGTGGCCTAGATTATTCTTAGAGACTGCAGGCGGACTGGCCGGGCAAGGCGTCCGCCGGCACCATGGCACATACGTTTATGGCAGGATTGAGTTTCAAGGTGAACGCCAGTTAGCATTTACATCAGGGAGAAATGAGAAGCCACTTCATGACTTCTCCACTTCCCAGTTTGTCCCTGTCACTGCTCTCAGTGCTCCAGGTTGGGGATAGCTTTGATGCCCTCTGCAGAGCCAGCTTCCAGCAAACATTTGTTGACATTAGCCTGGGTTCTGTTTGCAGCCACAGTGCAAATGGTCGTTACACGATGATTGTCTAAATTGTGGGTGTCGGCAGGTGAATGCTGGCTCTGCCCTGTGTGGTGTGGGCAACCCTGCAGAACTCAACGGCACCCTGTTCTACGGACCTCCAGCACTCCGTCAGCTGACCTGAGCCACGCTCGCGTCAGGTCAAGCAGGTTTTGCAAAACAGCAGAGCGCGCATTGGGCAACAGGGTCCCCAGGCAGGAATTGGTGGAATGAACCTTCCAGTTCAGCCCCTGCGGAGGGGCAAAGGGTCCGCTGCCATACTCACTATAAATATGCCCGCGGGGTGAGCTGGGCACGTGTGCGTGCTTCTGTAGCCTTGGGGCAGGGAGGATTATGCTCAGGGCTATGTTTTGTCTTGTCCTTATTGAAGGGTCATCTTTTTGAATCAGAATATATCAAACCAGTCAAATCTGAGCATGCCTCCCCATGAATCAGCTTTTTCTCAAGACGAGCACGGAAATACCCTTTGCACAGTCACTGCTGGATTCTAACTCTTCCAAAAGGTTTTCCCACGTGATGCTTTCTCCATGCCACTCCACATGATGCTGTCGAACTATCATGGACCAGGACGTGCTGCTTTTTGCAGACATAACTCTCTCGCTCCCCTAATCCCTTACAGATGCCTGGACATGACCCTCAAGTTCCTCCTTGTGGGGGAGCTTGGCCTGTGGTGCACTGACCAAGGAAGCTGCAGGACCCACCGTGTCCTGGACTGGCTCCTCTGAGTGGGAGTCCCGCTGCCTGGAATGTTCTTTTCTGTCCCCTGGCCACATCTGGGGACCACTTCCTCTTCTGCTCTCCTAGTCCTTGTAGAATGTCCTCCCCTCTTCCCCCTTAGTCCATCTCTCCCACTAGACTTTGAGATCCTGGGATTGGGGTCCCCGGCCTGGCTTGTCTTTGACCGACCCAGTGCCTGGTGCATGCTGGCAACTTGTAAACGTTTTCAGCTGTGGTTGCTGAGAGCAGCTCTTGGGCCACAGGGTGCGATGACAGAGGTTTGCTGCCCGTGTTCAGGGTGCAGGTGGAGGGAGGGCTGAAGGCTCTGCACCCCATGTTGTCCTTGTCTTCCAGGCCTGAGAGAGTCATGCAGCCCAACTTTTGCCGGTGGGCCCTGGACCCTCATTCCTTCCAGGCTGTGGAGGACGGGAGGCGGCCAGGGGAGGGGACTCATGCATATCAACTCCTGTGTGCCAGGCCCTATTCCAGATGCTCCACATACACCTGAGGACTGTGACCCTGGAGGCCCCAGCTCAGGGACCATGATCACCCACGTGGCTGTGCGCTTTCAGCTTCGCTTCTGAGATGAGACCACTGAGCCTCAGAGAGGGGAGGAGTCTGGCAGCTGGTGAGTGACGGAGCAGGGCTTGGGATCTGGGACCTCGGAGTCAGCCCACGGCAAGGGAGGGAACACTTGGTGGTCTGGT